TCAGTGTGTAGCACATATGGAAAAGGACCAGAAAACTGTACCACAGGTTGACCCAAGTCTTTTGAGTGAAACTGGACAGACAAAAGTAGTTGGAGGCCATTGGTGATTGTGTTAGCCCAAAGCCATAATTCATTGTGAGCAATGGTTTGATGATATTAGCCTTATTCAAACCTATGATCACATGAGATGATGTCCACTCAGCATAGCTGCAGGATAGGATCTATGGGTATTAAACAAATGCAAATGTACCTGAGCAGGCATCTGCAAACAAGATTGGCTAGCTGCTCTAGCAGATAGGGATTTTCTAAAATGAGTAGCCAGCCATTAAACTTTTAGTAAGTAACGACTATAAAATCAGTGAGTATTTATAATGTTATATTAAAATTCTTAAAACAAGTGTCCCAGTTAATAAGTCAAATTAAATTCAGCCAAACATTGCATTGCCTGTTTTTCCCTGTCTTACCAGTTTTTATGATTAACCTATTGTATGCAAATACACAAATTAAATACTTTGCCCACCTCACTCCAAAAAAAAAAAAAATAAAAAAAAAATGTAAGAAAATTTACATGGCTTCTTACAGTTCATTTCTTTTTATGTAACTTGTTTAAATATGACCTCCACTTAATGACACTCCCTATTTATATTATAATTAATTTAAAATGCTAATTATTACTCTGCTTAATTATTATTATTAATAGCTGATAGATGAAGTATTCTACGCTGCTTATTCTTTTTACTTTCTGATTAAGAAAGCTCAGAGAAATCACTTTCAACAGTTGATGGACATGGAATTATCTCCCTTGGTCAGAATTTTTTTTTTTTTTTTTTTTTTGTCAATTTATGCTTAATTAAAATACAATCAGAAACTGTTTGCCTGATTTAACTGGAAATTGTTTTATTGTCCAAGTCAAAACATTTTAAAGGCCCTGTGCTAAGAAAAATTGCATTATGCTGTGCCTATTCTACTGTGTTATGATAAGAAATCTACATAAAATCGGATCATCATAACATACATTAGATTTTATATGTAATTTTCTAACTTTTCTTCAATAGATTTCTTAATTTAGTTGAAAACATTTGGTTTATTTTAAGCTCAACAAAACTTTATTGCTCTCTTCTATAGAACATTAAGGATAAACAATTTTTTTTCACTTTTTGAATCTACTCTGCCAGTGAACAATTTGCCTGGAACTGATTTATGATGGAAAACATTAGGCAGGATTTTATGAGAAAATGCCAGAATAGAATGGGGTGGGGGTTAGACTATATGTCTTTTAATTACCCCTGTGTATTCACTGAAGCAGATAGAAGTTTAGTCTTAAATTTTCCTTGTTTGAGGAAATCGATAATTCTTTAGTGAAATCCTACTAATGTATAAATACTTACATGTTCATATTTTGTAAATAAAAAGAAGCTTATTGTAGGTAACATTTCCTCATCTGTGGTCGATTGATATTTGCAAGGAATAAATCCAAAGTATTTTGTGACTTCTACTAAAACAAAATTCGCATCAGTAAATAATTTTTTTTATATAATCAAATAGGATTATAATACAATTTATATTCTGCCAAAATGCTTACATAGATATCTTCATATAAGTTATAGGAACAATTTTAAAATTTCTCTTTTTTTTTTCTTTTTTTTTTTTACTTTCTATAAATCAAAATTTTCTTACTGAACATTCAACTCACAATGAACCAAACAAAACTATTTTCTCAAACAATTTTTTTATTGTAAATGTATATTTTTGAAGAACAAGTAATTATTATGGAATGAAAATTCCCAGTATCATCTTTGTTTTTTTTTTGTTTTTTTTTTTGTTTTTTTCTTCTTTTTTTGTAAACTAGGGACTGGATCAGTGACATAACTAGTGTATCTACTACCTGGGGGTAGAGTATGAGCCACTCAGGGCAGACCTTAAGTTTTCTACCCTTACCTCTTAATAAATTGATTTTATGATGAAGTACCAACTACATCTTATTAAACTATGATTTTACAATGGAGTACCAACCATCTAAAAAATTAGGATTATCAAGATTAATACCATTTGAGGATACAGTCATTGCAGCACTAAAAAGTGAAATGGAAATAAAAAACATTTTGTGCGGCATAATACAAGAGTTACTAGTTACCCTGGAAGAAATAAAAGAAAAAGTGGAAAATGACATGTTTATTGTAAAAATAAAACAGAAATTGAAAGAAAGTATCAAAGAACAAAATCCAGATTTAAACGTTTACTCACTATGCAATGGTGTTGTAATGTTTGGGCAAAGTTGTAATACTTGGTGTGGTACAGAAGCGAATATTGAAGAATTTTCATAGCAGACACTCCTGGTATTTCAAGAATGAAATCTCTGATGAAAAGTTTTGTATATTGAACCAGAATGAACCAAGATATTGAAAAAATAGTGAAAACTTGCAGAGGTTGTGCTCTGGCAGCAAAACTACCTATTGCAAAAATAGGACCTTGGCCAAAGACGGACATGCTGTGGTGAAGACTGCATATAGATTTTGCAGGTTCTGTAAATGGATCACATTATCTTGTGGTAGTTAGCCAGAAATTTATAAGTGCAAAATCCAACATCTTTA